GTGCTGTTGTTGAACAATTAATGGCTTTGTCCTTTCCTTGGGTTGCGTGTCTTGAAAAAAATGTCAACGCTGTTAGTGTTTTTTCAATAATATTAGATTTAGATCGTCGCACAATATTCTTTATATTGCGACCTAATAAGGGAATAAAGATCTTCGAAAGCTCGACATGGGTAAAGAACAAAATTACGTGGCCTGGCCTGACTTTTTTGCATGGTAGCTGTAACTCCAGGGTCTTATATCTTATATTTTAACTGGTCAGCCAAAGCGACCCTCCCCCTCTCTCTCTGACGATTGCTAGCAGGCATAAAGCAGCGCCGTGTCTGATTGACCATAGAGGTGGATAGAAACCAGGAACCTGCTGTAAGTATGCATCTGCAGTTGCTTAAAGCGATGGATTCGTATTTAGATGATTTCAAACTTATCCGAAGACACTACAGTGACGCACAGTGGGCCACGGAGTAACAACAGCTACAAAATAATACTTTAAAAAACTAAAAAACACGCTTTTCTGGCTAACCTAACTAAAAAGTAGAAAATAATGTTTAATGACAAAGAGTTTATATTGAGTAGATGGTCGAACAATCAATCATAATGACCTCAAAATAAAATTATAATAAGATTTAGGTTATTAACAGAATAATTTACTTCAGAGTAAAAAGCGTGGGGTGCTTGATATTTTAAATGGTACAATCATTCTATTGGCAACTATCTATGAGGGGAGAGTTATGAAAATGTAGTAAATTGCACAACACGTTTTTTACTCTGAATTGAATTATTCTGTTAGTAACTTAAATGTTATTATAATTTTATTTTGAGGTCATTAATTATGATTGATTTTGCGTCCATCTACTGCAGTAATATAAACTGTTTGTAATTAAAAATTATTTTCTATTTTTTAGTTCGGTTGGCTATAAATGCGTGTTTTTTAGTTTTTTTAACTATTATGTATTTTTCATTTCGTAATTCATCAATTAGTTTTTTGTGGTGTTGAAATATCTTACGACTCATTTCGTAATCTAATCACTCCATTTAAAGCTTCACTGTTGCATGAGGTTTTTCCTGTTAACTTGGAGCAATCAAGTTCTTTGATCCGAATACTGTCTGAAGATCCTACACGACTAGGTGCTACATAAGCTTGTCTAGCAGCAACCAATCGCGAGCTTAGATAAATGTCTGCATGATCGACTGTACAACCTTGCATCTTGTGGACGGTCGAAGCCCAACTCAGGATTTTTTTTATATCGAAGCAGCTGCTATGATGATCCCAAAGAAACTTTATTAATACGATTTTTGAACTGCCTTAGGTTAATAGAACTGGGAAAAGCATCTTCTTGTAGATTGTTCCATAATCTCGAAACCCTCGGGACAAAGAAGCGGTCGTATCGGCCTCCGGTGCGAAAGGGTTCCGAGACTCTCTGTTAGAGAAGAGTCATCGATAAGTCGGACCGCCCTCCCCTGTACAGCATCGAGCATGGATAATGTAGTCGGGGCGGCAGCACCCCAAACGTGTGAGCAATACTCGAGGCTAGGGCTTATCTGGGCCTTGTATAGAGTGAGAAGGTCATGCAGAGAAAAGCACTTCTTAGCCCTAAACAAATAGACTAGCTTCTTCCCAGCAGCTGCAGCTATTGACGAAATGTGTTCGTGCCAGATCAGGTCCTCGGTGATCTAGACTCCGACCAGCCGAAATGAATGGATCTTTGGCAGAACTCGACCATCCATCGAAGCCGGGTGAGCGCAGGGATGCTTTTTGTGCGTCAAAGTAGAGCAGTGCGTTTTGGAAGTACTGAACCGTACAAAGTTACTTCGTCCCCAAGCAGTGATAGCCTCCAGGTCTCTTGTCAGAGAGGAAGTCATCGCTAGTCTTCTTTTCTCCAACTCAGCGGCAGAGATCGGCTTGTCACTCTAAATGCCTGCATGTAGAGTGCTGTCATCAGCGAAGCTGTGGATTGGGTTGACCGTGCAGGAAATGAGGTCGTTGATATGTACGAGAAACAGTGTCGGAGCCAAGACCGATCCCTGGGGAACACCCGCATTGACGTTGTGGAATGAAGAGGAGAATCCGTCAATTACGACGGATATCTTGCGGCCAGAGATAAAGTCAGCCACCCAACTGCAAAGCTTTTCTGGGACGCTATAGGATGCTTAAGAGGGCAGCGTGCCACAGCTGATCGAGCGCTTTCGTGATGTCAAAAGCAACGACATGAGCCTGACCATAAGACTGGATGAGTTTACTCCACAATTGAGTGACGTAAGCTAGGAGGTCCCCTGTGGATCGTTGGTGCCGGAAACCATACTGCCTGTAGCTAATCAAGCCGTGACGTTCGAGGTAGTCCAGAAGCTCGCGATTTATGCACCTCTCCATCACCTTTCTTAAAACAGAAAGCAGAGCTATAGGCCTGTAGTTGTAAGGGTCGGTCTTAGATCCATTTTTTGAGATGCGTTGGACAAGCGCAAATTTCCATTTTCTGGGAAGGTGCCGGATTCATAAGATATCTGGAAGAGACGCGAAAGAACTGGAGCAAGCTCCGGTGCACACCTCTTCAGTACAACGGCAGGAATCAAGTCCGGACCAGAAGCTTTGTTGATGTCGAGCGACAAGAGCATTCATCTTACGGTCTTATACCTGAATGTTACCTCCCGCATAGTCTAGGGAACCCTTTGAATTGACGGCATTTGGGCCTTGGGGGAGACGTCCATGGCAGCAAAGATCTGCAGATCAGCAGTCTGCTTGGCCAGCGTCCAGAAAGACCGTTGGTTTTTGGCATTGCGAACCGCTGCTTTGTATTTGTTTCTGGACTCAACGTCAGCTTGTCTGTTCTTTACAGTGGGGTATTGCAAGAAGGTTCTGCGTGCCTTGATCTTCTGCTGGCAAGCAGCGTCACACGATTTGTTAAACCAGCCGTTGGACCCTGGTCTAGGCACTTTCACTGTGTGAGGGATGTATTCCTCCATTCCGACGTAGATTATTTCAGTTATCAAAGAACAGACAGCCGGCGCATCCGCGTCAGTGAAACAGACATCTTTCCAAGGAAAGCTAGAGATAAAATCTCTGAGCCCCTCCCAGTCGGCATGTCCGTAATGCCAAGTTTTGCGGCCTGTACGAGTTTCTGCTGCCATAGCGGGTTCTGACCGAAATCTAGCCTCCACAACACCGTGGTCTGAGTTACCCAGGGGGCGACAGGACAGCAGTACTGCAAGGGACAGGATGCGTGGTCAGAAAGAGATCCAGCAGGCTACTAGCGTGTGACGCGACGCGGGGGAAAAAAGTAGGGCTGGTCACCAGCTGAGTTAGCCCTTGGGTAAGAGCGAACGCTTCGACTGCACGACCTGCTGCGTCGGTCTTGTTTGAGCCCAACCAAAGCTCATTATGGGCATTGAAATCACCGAGAAGAACTACCTCTGAAGCGGGATGATTGATGTTCTGGAAGTCGATCTGGATGGCGAGGTATTCGAGTAGGTCATCCCAGTTATGGTCCGAGGGAGAGCGATAAAAGCAGCAAATAAATTTGGGTGATGTTTTGGAAGCCACAGAATGTCCTTCCGGTCTGATTCCAAAGAAACATCTCTGGAGCAGGAAATACTGCTGCGGACAAAAGCCACAACTCCCCCTTTCTTTCTCAGATTGGAGTGCACCTCGTAGTTTGGGAAGTTAAGATGGTTAATCGGTGCAGACTCTGAGATTTTTGTCTCCACCAAGAAAAGCACGGCGAGACGATTGTATTGCAGGTAGTGATGAACAGCATCAATGTTGCTGTTAATCACGCAGATGTTCGATAAGGATAAACAACACTCGCAATGAACAAGGTGGGAATGCACTACCTTGAAAAATTGCCTGCCTCCACTGTTCTGTGCCGAGTGCCCAAACCAACAAAGAGTAAGCCCGAAACTGCACGCATGCCCAGAACGCGAGCTAGCTCTAAATCTCTTACTCCCCTACAGATTATCTATAAAAGAATTTATCAATCGGTCCTTGTTACATGTGCGAAGTTTCAAATTAATCAAGCTTCTGGAAATTGGTGAAAATTATACTCGAACATTCCGTTACATACATACATACAGACATACAGGCCAAGCTTATTATAAAAGCGTGTTAAAAATATCCCATAATGATATGTATGTGTTGCCGACCCCTCTTAAAACATCAGAGACTATATATTTATTTAGCTATGCCAAAGCCTTATCTCCAGGCGCATATGGACAAGCGGCTTTGATGTGAAAGTGGTGACGGGTTGCTGTTTTAGTGGTAAGTATTAAAGTTAGATACATTATAAAAAATGTTTAGTCAAGAAAGGCTTGAGTTGTCTATATCTACATGCTACGACAGGTATTTAGTATATTGTCCAAGAGCCCACTGTACACGCCACATATTTTTGACATTTCGCACCCTTGCTACAAAAGTGATACAACTCTAAAAACTAAGTTTTTAGCAAACCGAAGAAAACTGTTTTATACACTCTAAATATTTTTTGTAAAAATACATTCGTTCGGATAAGTAGTACAAGTCATAAAAATACTTATGCTATACTATATTCTCTATTCAAGGCTGGTATGCTTTAACGAAAAGCCTTTTCCAAGATATATCACTTTTGATGATTGATTTGAACAAAAATCCTGGAATTATATCCAAAACCGACAGTTTAGTTGAGAACTGAAAAGGAACAAATGACTTGCGACACTTTTGTTGTTCGACATTATAAAAAATAATAAGAAAGAAGTATAAGTATTTATTCATGGTTTTTACCTGAAAATAAAGCGCCAGCCTTATACTATAGAAATATTTTTATTTTCTTACACAAAACATCATAAAAACATTGATTTGGCCCTAAATACTGAACAGGTACTCCTATTTTTAAACAAGCGAAAAAAACACAACATACAGAAGCTCATAATAAGGAACAATAACAGGCTTGCGTTTAAATTAAAATAATTTTCAGTCTTCATAACTAAAAGACTCCTTCACAAGGTTTGAACTGAATTGAATCCTAAGTACATTTTTATAAACAGTCGTAATATTTTTTCAATTGTTCCCTTATCAGCTAGTTCCTGTAAGTGCTGTTTTTTAAGTCACTCAATTGAAACTTATGAGAATAAGCTTGAACTAAGCTAAACGAGTCTGTATTACGCTCTTGGGAGCTAGCGTTTTTCACATTATTCATATCGACTTTTCTGAATTACTCCTGTTCATAGGACGTTTTATAGAAGAATGAATCCGGGTATTCCTTACACAAGTATTTTAATGTCATTGCAGCTAACTTTTTTTCAGTATCTGTCGTAAAGTTTTTTTGCCACTGTTCTTGTAACGCTTTTAAATCATAGAAATTTTCAAAGGTAAGCTGGTGAACTCTATAAGGGGAACCACTTTCTTTTGCTGTTCGAATTAGTGCTTCATACTCATCAGGCACGTAAATCGGTCCAGATTTGAGATATTTCATAATTTGCTTCTCAATAATACTATGTACATTATCCCGCTCATTTTGAGAATGCCCCTTTATTAAATATTTATGGGTGATACTGCGGACTGGCAGTTTGTTTACCGCGATTAAACATCACATAATTGGCGAACGGAAGTTGTTGACTTTCCCAATCTTCTTTATAATCTCTATACAAGTCCGCCAAGTTCTTACTACTATCAATATATTCTCGAGTAGTTTGAGTACTCAGATAATGCAATTCAAATCGGGGTATGGCATTTATAAATTTTCTCTTCAATTTCGGGATTCACCTGTGGTTGTTTACCATGTTTTCCTCCTTGATCAGTGATAATAAAACCCTCTTCGGTTCGTTTTTGTAGCGCTGCATACCCTAATGTGATTTCCGTCGAGATTGAAATAAAATGCCGAATTCATTTGTCCATAATTTTCCGTACATGACTAACGGTATTTCGGTTTTATAGATTCAGTATGCCTCACTATAGATTCTCTTTGATTTTGTAAATGCGCAAGTTCCCAATACCCAGAAAAAATAGCTATCCAGAATTTCATAACAATTTAGTTTTTTTTAAAGACCAGTTAGCAACATTCCGTTTTCTTTTTTTGCCTTTTGTAACTTCTATCTCTGCTAAGCTTCCATTTACAACTTCTTATGTGCTCTTCGTTGAACTTTTGTCACTACCGGGATGCTTATTGATGAAATCTGGATCTGCATCTGAGTCATCTACGTCGCTTTATCCGCTATGTATGGGCGAGACATAATAATCTTTTCATTTTCTTTTTAAATGAACAACTGTAGGAAGGACGATCTATATTACAATACAAGACACTGTGTAATACTTGCTAGTCATTCGGATGAAAACCAAGTTCAGCATTAATATCGTCACTAGGTGCCGGTATTTTACGAGTATTACATTTCGTTGTTTCTGGCGGTGTCCTGCTTAACAATAAACGCTGTTCAACTTGAGAAGATATCCATACCGTTGCCTACAAAAAAAAACAAAGCTAAAGAGACAAAAACTTTGATGACTTATACTACGATTGGAAACATTATTAGGTAGGTAAATCGAGTGTGTTACAATTTGGTACATTTTTGAGACAGCATGATTTATTTTAAGGCGTGGGATAGGTAATGACTTAAAAATGTAATACATAAATATTATGTAGTACATAGGGCTCTATTATCCATGATGGAAGAGGTAAACAACAACCATACATAATAGTGAGAGCGACATATATAATAAGATGTAGATCCAGATGCCATCAACAAGTATCCCGGTGCAGTGACAAAAGTTTAACGAAAAGTAATGATGAGCCTCTAAATGAAAGCGGGGCAAAGACATAAACTACAAAACGCCAAAAAACATTTTTATAAGTGGTCTTCTAAAAAATTGAGATGTTAAGAAATTCTTGACAAGCTTATTTTTGTCAAAAACGAAAAAACGCCAATAAAAAGCTAAATCAAACATATTTATATAGTTTCATTTGGCCTGATAATTATGAAGTCCAACCACAGGTGCACCCCGAAGGTGAAAATATCGTGTCAAAATTGATTAATGTCATACCCCGAATTGAATTGCACTATCTCTAAGGGCTTAAACTATTCGGAAATATATCGATAGTGGTAAAAGGGTGATGGACCTCTATGGATATTATGAAGAAGAGCGAGAAAAGGAACTTGAATATTCCAATTACTGTCTATGTGTTAATTCTAGATTTCCCCATTTAATAAGCCTTGAAGTCCTCACCCAGTATATAAGTTTAATGTAAGGATAAGAAGTTACACATTTTCTGTGAAATACATATCAAACTTCCTACAGATTCATAATTTTCAAAAAGTTGAAAGGCTTACGTAGATAATTCGTTAGTGTTTCGTTAAATTTGTTACAACAAAAGTGACATAAATCGAAACATATTACAACAAAAGTGATCTAGATCAAATTATATTTGAACATTTGTGTTACTTTAAGCAACTAAAGTGACATAACTTTATATAAAACCAATTTTACTACAGATTTCCATCCTCTAAACTGACTTAATTCAAAATATTAGAAGAACTATACCCACCGTTATTCATAAAAAACGACACAAATCAAAATAACGCGGTTTGAATGCATTCACGTAACTCCTTTACTGTATTGAAGACAGGGTACAACTGAAAATATCTCTGTTTAGCAGGAGATACTAATACAAACGGAATCTGCAAAAACGACAGATATGCCATCTGGCGGTTAATGGACAAAGTTAATTTATTACTCTTTTGCTGGAAGGTAAACCATTATTTTCACATGTGATTGATAGTAACAACTCAAAATTCACACCTTTTGAGTTGTGTCACTTTTGTAGCAAGGGTGCTATCTAAAGTTATAGCAGGAACAGTTCAGGCAGATTGAAGAGCTATTCGTGATGTTCGCAAAACGCGGATCTGTATCTTCATCGATGCTTCAACAATCTGTGCATTGCAAAATATTCCCGGAAACTTGTTTTACTTGCAGAAACGAAGAATGTAGTCACTAGATTTTGCAATTTCATTTGCAATTCTGGATCATATAGAATGTTGCACGGCTCGAACATGCCGTTTCACACAGGGCTTAGCCAAGCTCCGGCAGTACCATTGTCAACATAAGCCTTGCTCTAAGCGCCTTGTTCTCATTCATGATACATACATATTTTTCAGTCTAGATCTACCTGTGGCTTGTTATCCTGCGGAGGCTTTAGAAGATAGAAATAAGGACATGAGGAGATGTGACATTTGTACTTAACTGTGGAAAGGACTGAAGTTACTATCTTCTTCTCCATTAGTGTGTAGTCGTGGGTTCTTCTAAGATTGATGAAAATAACTCAGTCTTCGGCAAATATATAGTGAGACCTCCAGTGCTTATACGCAACGCTTACAAATGTCAACTTTCCCGTTTTCATAGTGTAGCTAGTATTCTACGCTTTTTCATGAAAATCTTTCGAGAACTGACAACTCATAATATCGTATGGTAACCCAAATCAAGCCCACTGTCTGTATTTTACAAATTTTGGAAGGTCGTGAGTATTTTTTGAGAGAGTCACAGAGGTATTTCGCTATTCTATGTATACGTATATGAGAAGGAAGCAGATTTTATACATCGAGCACAGAGCTTGTAACATACCTAGGTTACCACCATGAGGGGCTTGTATTTTTAGATAGCTACTGACTGCGGACATTTTTCTCTTATTAGCCTAATAGTATTTCACAAAAATACCTCTGGCTTGCAAAGTAATTGTAAAGTGTGATTTTGTTAATGCAAGCTGTTCAAGGTCCACTCACCAATTTTTGTGGGAAAACTTCTTATTCGACAACAAAGAATGAAAGAACGTTTTGTTTTTGGAATTCAATCGAAAGTATTGGCAAGACCGAAAAAGTCTTCAAATAAGATTTTTGATTATTTACGAGACCTACAAAATGAGACCAAACTACAATGAACCCTATATATTGCTCAATAAACTAGTAGTGATGGCCGGAAGACCGGTGTTTTAGAAAAAACAATTAGAAATTCTCAAAAACTATTTGACCAATCCACTCCACTTTTGCTGTGGTTATTTATAAGCATGATGTCTACGAATTTAGAGAATTTCAAGTATCTGTGTGAAACTATCGTCGCGTTACCAAAACCTGCATTTTGACTCGTTTTCGGTCAGAACTTTTTCGCTATTAGTGAAATCTTTTTACATGTGGTCACATTTTGGAGGTCTCGTAAATACCTAAAAATTTTATTTAAAGCATTTATTTCGGTCATGTCAACTCTTTTGATTGAATCCCAGAAAACCCGTTTTCTTGTTCAAACTACCCCGTTGAACAACTTGCGTCAATAAAACCAAACTTTACAGCCTCATCTTATTCCATAACCCATCCAAAAGCCCATTTTCAAGTCAGACAATGCCAGACCGCATGTCGCCAGAGCATCGTTAGCCTTCATGGATCGCATAAACCGTTTACTTTGGCCACCACGATCGCCTGACCTATCTCCAATTGAACCTGTTTGGGACATGATATGTCGCAGGCTCTTGAATTTGCAACACGCTTCACATACTTTAGCAGCCCTTACTCACGATGTTGTAGTAGTCTGGAGTGAGATACCCCAACAGGATATCGACTACTTTATCAGCACGATGCCCAGGCGTTTCAATGAGTGTATAAGAAATAGTGGATCCTCAACACATTACTGAACCAGCTTCTGCAGTCAGTCGACGAATCAAGCTGAAAATTTAATCACTTTACTAGTAAGGGACACTGAACATTTTGTGCCAAAAATTATTAGAATCGGATAAGCATACGTAGGTGTTTACCTTTTTTTGTCACTCAGTGTACCTGTAGCCTGAGCGACTTTCTCTCCTCCTCATGTAATTTTCGGTAATTAATTTTTTAAAAATAATTTCAATCTAATAGCTTTTCCACAAAGCTGACGTAACTCACAAATTCTCTTATAGGACTGCAATGTCTTGCTTTTGAGGCACTGTGTTATGTATCGAACGTTTGGCTCAGTACTTGAGAAGAAGCGTCTGCCAAGAGAATAAAACTCAATTTTCCTAGTTTAGACTCTTTACCCACTCCTTACCGACTCTACATCATGAAAACATAGACTTCTTACCGTGCCAACACCGTGAAAAGATAGAGTCAGAACCTCAAAGAACATGCTAATGAAAATGCTCATTCATCATATAGTATATTCACTGAATTACAGCAGTATGTCACAGCGTCAAATAATGACAGTGACGCACATGATTGCCACATTAATTAAAACTACTATATCCTAGAACGTTTTACAAAATTCACTTTATGTCTACGATGCCTTATTGCAACTGACATTACGGAGCGTGTATTTTGTAAACACTAGAGCTAGTATGAATTCTATTTACTACCTAATACCTCTCTGACGGACTGTAAAGGCAATAATAGAGCTCCATGATCTCGTTCGGTCTCAAATATTTCGCCAAGGAAATGAAACCAATTCTTTTGCTTGTCTCGGCATTTTAGCAAAATGCTTATGAGGCACAAATATTACCTGACAATGTCACAGTACAGCAAACTTTTTCTAACGTAAATGTACCGGGGAAATTCGAACTATACGTACCAATTTAGGATTTATTTTGCATTAAGGTTAGCATTCAAATTTACTAAATATGACGTAGGTGCTTTGTTTTATTGAATAAGTTCATAAATGTTGATTTTTTAACAGGTCTTGTACCTCCGTGGCCCACTGAGTGACGCCAATGTTAGATACCAGAAAAGAAATGTGAATATGTAGCATTATAGTGGAAATTATGTAGTCGTACAAAGGCATTCTTCTTAGAATTTTTAGATGAAATCTACGAGAACAATAGTAATAATAAAGCTGCTTTTACGACTCTCTGGCTGGCGGCCATATATGGATTTCTCGAATAAGCTCCATTTTCAGTACGAAAATGACTTCGCTGATCCTTTAGACGATTTGTGTAGCGCTGAAAAGTATAAAATATCTCTTCCGCGGTATTTAAATGCGCTCTCCGTTTTTTGTAAGAGATCGATATAATCCAACGAAATGGAAGAAAGACGATCCATAGATGGGAGCATGAAGATGAGGAACTATCTTAAGCCCGATTTTACAAGTCGGGGAACAAAATTTGGTCGCAGGAAGCAAATTTGAGTGACTATAACGAGTTTTTTAAGTAATGGATGTAGTGAGTAGCGGATGATTACACCTGGTTGTGCTGCAATTTATCTGATCCCAGGAACAAAATTTGCCCCTAGGAAGCAAATACAGCCAATCGGTGAGAAGCCGCACGGACGGTAGGTGTGGCAGCACTGCTGCAGTCCGTTGACAGCGTTTGTTTCATTGACAACTTGTTTCAGCCTTTTGAACACAGATGGCAGGGTGGTGCAATAATTATGAGAGAGGCAACTTAGTATTTCGCACGGTAGTTAAGCGATTCGAATATTGACCTAAAGTTTGTTAAATACTAAGTATTCTGTAATACAATCGATGATGATCTACTAAGTAAAGTTTTATAATGTACCACAAAACTAAACCAATTAGTTTGAGCTGTTACAGACCTAGAAACAGAAAAATAAGTTTACAATGGAAGTTAGTTAAGAAATTGTTGAAATCTTCCCCTATTTAACAACACATATATCCTTTTTTTGATATTTTCAGGTATTTATGTTTGTTGGCTATATTATTTACACCTTTAGCATATCTAGACTTTTACCTGGGACCATTTTACATAGGTAAGACGATTGAGAAGTTCTACATCATCAATGGTCAAGTAATTGGCTAAATACTGCTAGAAATGCGTTATCCGAAATTGGAGTTGGACCTTGCATGCAGTCATGTCCAGAAGTTGAAAAAATAACTCCTAAAAATAGGAATATAATCCGCTTCATTTTTTCGATAGTAACGACTGTGCTCATTTTGTATACTCCTGAATAATGAACCTCTATTTTAGGTAGACAATAGCTCCATATTGAATGAAAATAATTCTGACTTTGGTATGCTGTGCATGTTAGTCACATTGTTTCAACTGTTATTAGAATTTTAAAATTAGTGCTGATATACAAGGTGTTTCACAACTTATCCGACAAAGTTTAACCATATAACATACGTATATGCACTTTTGCGAAAGAAGTTGATTTAAAAAAAAAAAGTGATAAAAGTCCTACAGAAATCGAGATAATAAAAATAATACAGTTTAACAGTTCACTCACTTATAAAAGCTGTTCCAAATTGTTTCCATTGACTGAAATGCAAGATTGGTCGCGTGTAATCCAAATTCGGCGCACTAATTCAAATACACCTCCTTCGTGCTGTGCCTGAAGGCTCAAATTATCGGCAGCCACTGTGATTCGATCACGCAATTCTTCAATATTCTGAACTGTAGCACGGATACCTCGTTTTTCAAGTATCCTCATAAAAAGAAGTCCAGAGGATTTGGATCGGGAGACCGTGGAGGCCATGCAATTGGTTTAGCCCTTCCGATCCAGCGTATCTGATATACCCGATTAAAAAAATCACGAACTTCTAAACGAAAATTCGGAGGTGCCCCATCGTGCAGAAGGCACATGCGTGCTAGGACGGCCAATGGCACATCTTCAAGAAGGACCCGCAAATAATTCCGAAGAAATTCCAAATACTGGTGACCATCCATCCCATCTGGCAATATGAACGGTCCAGTTAGACGTTCATCGACAATACCTGCTCACACTTTTAAAGAGAAATGATGTTTGAAGTGTGTCTGGACCACTGCGTGAGGATTCTCAGAGGACCAAACGTGTGTATTATGAAGATTGGTTATCCCATTACGAGCAAAAGTAGCTCCATCGGTGGCCAAAATATCAACCGTAAAACGAGCATTTCGAGCATTTTCTTCCAACAACCACTCACAAAATCTTACTCTTAGGGGGTAGTCTGTAGGTAGCAACGCCTGGACTCTGTGGACGTGATAAGGGTACAGTTGAGCCTCACGTAATATGCGCCGCGCTGTTCCATGTGACACTTCTGGGACTTGTTGGGCTAACTGCCTTGTGCTTATTCCCGGATTTTTTTCCACAATATTCAAAATTTCATCTTTGGCATTTAAAACGGGTTGTGGGCGAACCCGACCCCCATCGACTCCACGTCTGGGGCGCAAATCTCCACTAGCACGTGCGCGTAAAACAAGTGAACTAAATGTTTCGTGATGTGGTATGTGCCTATTCGAGAATCGGTGTGCATACAAACGAGCAGCTGCTCGCGAATTTTGCCATGCTTCTTTGTGCGCTAAAACAATGTCCACTAACTCCTCATTAGCGTACACATGTGCTATTTTTGTTAGTAAATAGCTAAAAACATAAACTCGCAAAATACTTTCGTATTTAACTTCTCAAAAATCGACCGTTCTCCATTCAGACCACCCACGATACAGATTAAACCCCATTTTCACGATCTTATCAGTATGAAAAGACAAAAAATTCCTGGTATTTTGTTTGGTAGAACATTTGCTACATACAATAAACTATTGATGCGTGTTCTAATATCACGATGATGAACTCAAAGTACGGACATTTATTCTTCAATTTATTTTTGAAAATCAGGTTTATTTATGACTTAATTTCTGTAGGACCTTTATTACATTTTTTTTTGAGGAATCAACTGGTTTCGTAACAGTGCATATGTGGTTAAAACTTGTCGGATGAGCTGTGAAACACCCTGTATAACTGTTTTATGTAAAGACGGGTCCACACTATGTAACAAAATATGTTAATGACAAAGTTGTACAACAAATTTGCTGTACAACTTTGTTGTGTAACTTGTTATAATATAGCACAAGCATCCATACTATATAACAAAATACAAAACAAAAAAGTGCGCGTAATTTTCGCAGCATTTTAGCTGGTAGGTGGTAGTATGTCGTCAAACGTAGAGGATGCCATAGTGGCAGGAGCAGCTTGCGTAATTTTATGCAGGCGACACCGACGTGTAAAGCGAAGATTTTGGGTGCGGCCTTCATTAAAAGCTCGAGAAATATATAGTGGTATAGCTCTTTTAACTGATCTGAAAAGAGATGACCTAGACCCATCGTCAGGAGACATTAAATGTGATGGCAGTTTTAGAAACTTCTTAAGAATGACAAGTTCTGATTTTGACTATCTTATAAATGAAATCGGCCATAAAATAGGCAGGAAAGACACAACATTTCAAGATGCAATTCCAGTAAGAGAAAGATTAGCAGTTACGATGAGATTCTTAGCAAGTGGAGATTCCTACCAAAGCTTAAGCTATTTATTTAAATTTTCTAAGCAGAGTATTTCGAATATTGTGCCAGAAGTTTGTGACGCTCTCATTGACTGTTTAAGAGATATAATCAAAGTAAGTATATTTTTTAAACTTTTTATTCATTTAGTTTCATAGAGAAAGTAACATTTGCGTAAAATTTAATTCATCCTCGGTATCTGCACCTGTGCATGATTGAGTGTCAGTGTCTGTTTGAATTGATGTAGCTGGGGAAGTTACGGGTGAAGGTGTAGTGGACGGAGTGGTGGATGTCCCAGGTTGTATGTCTGAACACTCTGCTCTAAAGAGAATATTATTTATTTCAAATTTGGCGTAGATTTGCACCGATTTGCTCTTAAGGTTTCGCAAGGTGGTCGCTACATATTCACCATACACATCAAAGTCATCTCGCTTTTGCACGTTACTTGATAGTTCTTTCATTACCGCGTGCGCTTCTTGAGATTTCGTGTCTCTTGCCATTCTCTTGCTGCCTTTAGTTATAGGTATACGTGCAATAGTTTCATTTACTGTTTTTTCTTGACGTTTTTTTGTATCATTTTGCACCATTGCATGTGGCTGTGATCGCTCTTCTTCCTATAAAATCAGAAAAAACCGAAAATAGTATTTTGATATATAACTTGTATATAACGATTAAAGGCCTGTTTCAAGAAGACGCGTCACAAACCAGTCAGAGTCAATGATTTAATCTAAAAATTGTCACATGTCAATTCTCTTACTGTTTCTGAGTTGTCCGATTGGCTCTGACTGGTTTGTGATTCTTCTAGAAACAGAACTTAAAACATGTATTGAAATGAATATAATAATATAGCATAATTCCTCTTTCTTCAGGTACCCAAATATCAAGAGGAATGGCAACAGATTGCAAATGATTTTGATCAGAAGTGGAATTACTCTCACTGTTGTGGCAGTATCGATGGAAAACACATATGCTTACAAGCTCCAATAAATACTGGAAGCGACTATTTCAATTACAAGGAATTTTTCAGCATAGTGCTTTTAGCTATAGTGGACGCTAACTACTGCTTTACGTTTGTAAATATAGGTTGCCAAGGTCGTTTGTCTGATGGCGGAGTATTTGCTAATACAACATTTAAAAAGTTACTTGAAACCTCTTCCTTGAATCTCCCATCAATGAAAGTTTTACCGGGAAGAATATCAGCTTCACCTTTTGTGTTTCTTGGTGATGAGGCATTTGCTTTACAGCCGCATATGATGACACCCTTCCCAGGCACTCAACAGAAAGAGTCACCGGCTAGGATTTACAATTACAGACACAGCAGAGCAAGACGTGTAGTCGAAAATACATTTGGAATTATGTCTGTTATATTCAGGGTGTTTAGAAAACCAATGCTTCTTGAGCCTCAAAAGGCAGAAAGGGTAGTTTTAGCAAGTTGTTATATCCATAATTTTCTTCGAAAAGGTCAATCAACTTCATCCTACTGTGTACCAGGAACTTTTGATTCAGAGGACGCGCTGAAGGGAGAATTAATACCTGGTACATGGAGGGTCGAAGGTCAGCCAAATAGTACTTTGCTAAAACTTAAAAAGATTTCCAGGAAACCTACCGTGCTAGGCAAAGAAATACGAGAGGAGTTTTCTTTGTACTTTACCAGTAAGGAGGAGAAAGTGCCGTGGCAGAATAATTTTTGATTTCAAATTGGTTATTAATTTAAAGTGTGTTACATCAACCGCAGTGATATTCCCTAGCTCAGTATCTTGCTTGGGAGATACATCACCTTCAGTAGAATGACGTGCCTCATTTTTGTCTTTTAAAAATAAAAGCATTTTAAAAAAAAGCCATTTTGTTTTAAAAGGGGCATCTGCTCCATCGCCACTCTTTCCTTTTTTCAATTCTCGCTGAAATTGCCCAATCAGCATGCGCATTTCTTTTTCAACTTCATTTGTATCTGTTTTCACTTCTGCGGCTATTTCAGTCCATGCATCGTGTTTTTTATTTCTATTTTTAAAATCCATAAATATAGGATCCCATAATACTCGTTGCTCACGAAATAGTTCATGTAAATGAGTAGTCAATTCTTTCGACCATTCTATCGTGAACAGATCAAAGAAAAATGTAGCAAAACAAACAAGACGATGTGACACCGACGGTTCCCGTTCTTGTACTACTCCAAACACTATTCACAGTGCCAGGGAATGTTTCAATAACTTGTTTTTAAGTGTAGACCTGTCACACTGCGATTTTACAACAAAGTCTTATAACTTTCTTTGATCTTTACCGACAACTGATGGATAACATAAAACATGCTATATAACCTGCAAAATGTTATACAACACTGTGTTTTATAACTTTTTTATCTAAAATTCTGTAACAAGTTACAAAACTTTGTTATTTAACATGTTTTGTTACATAGTGTGGACCCGTCTTAAGAATATTACTTACGTTAAATGTACTAGCATTTTTCCAATATTATCTAGATTGTAGAGGTACTCAAGAATATTCAGAAATATGAAGTTTAGTTGTCAAACAGGCATAATGAAATTAACTTGGAGAGAAAGTCCACTCCCGTCGGTGTAGTGCAACAACAATTACGACTCTCGGGTTAGTAGTGGAAAATATTTTGTTAATGACGTTAGGAGCTATTTATGTATTAAAAGTACAATGTTCTACTTTACAGTTTTTTTGGCAGAAATACAATTTTGTTGTCAATTTAATCTGCATTATGTAGGTATTGATGAAGTCCGTGGACAAGCTTCAAAGGGCTGTTGCTTAGATGTACATAGTTATGAGAAAAGGTTTATATGCACATAGGTTGTTTTACGACGTTGCAATAATTGTTGAGATGACTCTGTTAGAATCTATGGAGACAGAAATTCAGCTAAAAACCTTTTTCTAAAGCCCCAGCTGGTTATGACAGGCCGAAAAATTTTGATCAGCTAATTGTTTACCTTGAGGTTTGGATTCTAACTCGTTTTCCCCTTTTTAATCAAGTTCTAAAATTCATGTAAACAAGATGAAAGTCGCATCTGTAAACATTTCTTAAGGATTGGTTACCATTTGGGGAATGATCTCCTTGCAATTTCACCGAACAATAACGCTTCCTTGAGAGACGCTCAAGGTAGGATTTTATATTCGAGTTTCATAGTAGTATGCTATCTCAGGCTGCCGTCGATATCAGATGTCTGCTAGCTGTGCCATTTTAGGATGTTGACCATAAACTTTGGATTTTTGAGTTTCTGGTGCTGAATACTACCAATCAGTGTGATGAAAAATGTATTGTTTCTTATAGCGAATAGTAATTTTACATCAGAGCGGACTGGGCAATATAGGCAACTGGTGTTACAATACTGACTTCGACAGTTATACGTACTGTACAACTTTAGATTTTTCAAATATTTCATTCACCATCTGCGAATCATTCGGCGGTTTTTCATAATAATGAGTACAGCAAACATGGACAAATTCTTCGAAAAATAGAAAAACCTCCGCTAGTGAACAACCTTACATAAAACGATTAAATATTTATAATTGCTTCACTTACTTTTGTTTGATGCTCTTTCGTATTTCTTCGCATGTCCTTTTTAACCTATTATTCTCATTATATATCCTCCAGTCACGCCCTTCCAAATAGTGGGGCCCTTTTGTTGTACTGTACATGACATCCTTTTTTCGGATTTTCTTTAGCTGGATGTTAATCACTATTATCAAAAAGAGACGATTATTTTACAGATTTAAAATGGGCTGTATAAATATGCTTGAACTGTCAATGTCAGTATTGCAATCCTGGTGGTCTATTTGGAGTATAACCTGCTCTGAGATAAAACCGCTTTTCTCTATAAAACCGAGAAAAAACTATTTTCATTACTATGTTGCATTCCTTAGTAACATTTAGCACAAAAAGCGGACAGTCCAAAATTTGTCATTAAAATGTTAAATATAAGATTGTTTTGAGTGTTGAGTGTTTGAACGTTTCTGAATCCCAGTAAAGACCATTCCTCAAAACGACACTTAACCCTCAATTAACGTTTATAAATGTGACCTTGACATCCTTCATTCTAAGACCAAATTACTATATGCACATATGCATTTTTCATCTGAGTAGCATCCCTTTTGCATATAGATATTCTATAACAACCAGGTTATCGACCACTGCTAACCTAAAAACTCACCCAGTATGTGTTTACGCAAGAGTGAATTTAGCCATAAAATGGACTTTCGTTATGCACCGATAGCACGCATTCCAAAGCTGCAGGATCTCCATCAAAAATTAAAGAAGTTCCAAACAGTAGTTCGCAACAAAACGAATAAAAAGAGTTGATTTTAGTGCTTAGAAAGCTTTTATATTATCTTTTCTGGACGTGAAACTTCACGCCCGAAAACTGTGTCAGGACGATTTTTCGTCTACGCTTTTTAACAATCATGTTGAAAGATGGCTGTTCCGTTTCTGAGAGGCTTTGAGTAAGCTATTGCTATCGAGGTCAGCCAAGCGAAACCGTTTAGCAGTAAAACTAGAATTTAAGTGCTATATTGGTTTATTTCTGAGGCCTTATCCTACCGACTGTGAGGCACAAGGTACTGTCTAATGCCACAACAAGGAGCCTCTAAACGGTCAATAATTCTGTTGCTATGACATCTATGGCCAAGCTGTCATGAACATGCTACTTAATATCATCCGCCTATACAGGGTGTTTCAAATTAGACCCTCACCATTGGGATTTCGGGAACTGTAAAGGATACGAAGTCGCTTAATGGGCGCAAGTAATCGACCAAATGCCGGTTACTTAGACGAAAAAAGCAGATTTTTTCCAAAATCGTTTTCATTTTTTCCTGACTTTACTATTTGTGGGATTTCAACATGACTTGCACATTAACATTGCTGCTTTTTCTCCTCTACAAGATGGCATAATTATAATTTCAACACGACGCTTCATCTCTTGTCCTACAGCATCAACTTTGTTTTCTCTTATAGAGGTCATATTGGTTTTTTTACAGAGTTGGACAGAGTTTTCAATTCCGATTCCAAAAATGTACAATACGTCATACATTGATGTTGCCAAGCCTGAGTTATTAAAAGCGGCAGAATATCGTAGGTAGACCTTGAAATTAACAGACAGTGATTTGTATCCTCTACTAGGTTTATCCCAAAATCACATTTATTATTTCCTGACTTCATTTGAGATGGGATTCCAAAATAAACTGATGCTAACATTGCCTCTGCAAGGTGACATAATCAGAATGCCAATAAAACGTTTCGTGCCTTGTCCTCCAGCATTAACTTTATTTTTTCTTATGGACGCCACAGTGTTTTTTTGCACAGATAAATAGTTATCAATTCAAAAATGTATAATATATATCTCTCTTGTACATTCTAAACTCCACGATTCATTTATCTTCTTCTCAGTCTTCGAAACTCTGCTGCTATGTTCAATTTGAGGTTTGGTCTGGTATACGAAACAAATGAAATCTGATAATTTCAAGGAACTTTTTCTGAAATAACTAAGGTTTGGCAATGTCCATATATTATGCTTTCTTGTAGAGGAGGAAAATTGACAATGTTAATGTGCAATTTATTTTGGAATTCTACTACAAAAAATGTCAGGAAACAATGAAAACAATTTTGAATTTCGAAACTTTGTAAGCGGCATTTTCTTGATTACCTAAATACGCAACTTTTAAGTGACTTTGGAACACCCTGCATGTCTTGGCTATATCTTCGCAATGCGCAGGCACATAGACATGTCAGACTTTGTTATCAGATGGGCTACAAAGTGCTTACATTGTCAGATTTCGACTATTCGGCATCTGACAGCAACAGTAATAATATCGCAAATCTCAAACATGTCTGGCTTATTCAGTTGGCACCCATATTACTTAACTTGAAAGGTGATATTAGGATATGTAGGTTTTTTTAGAAGATGTAGGTTTTCTTATAAAATGTCACCTTTGAACTAGCGACATGCGGAATA